ACTACCCGCTCGAATTTCGTCATCGTTTGCATTTTATGAGCACACTAGCAGTTAGTCGCGTGTGCAACTGCTCACGATGAATTGTAATTACAGAATTTTGCACTATTAATCATTCATTAATACTGTAAACATATATGATGTATTTCTAATTATGACATGAAAAATGACTACCGCCTGCATCATAGATGCGCAATATTCTTCGCTAGTGCATCAGATAAAATGTAATGAAATAATCATAATTTACTTGTAAAAGTTTCTGATTTGTACAAGAAAAAGAATTGCCAATTCTTTCTACACTTTTTATTTTATACAATCGTATCTACTACATTATTTGATTTATTGAATGCTTTTAATAATATACCGATATAGTAATTTGTAAAATGAACTTTAATTTAGGATAGATACTACGAATCTCGTAATTGGATTTACATTCAACGAACATACGAGACGTCATGAATTTATCGACAATATTCTTACGAAGATACAATAATAAGTATAAGCATTTTCATTTTCATCAGTTGTACGTGCAGAATTTTAGGGTGAAACTTTATCGTTAAAGATATGACAGAAAGAAAATTAAATACTAAATAAAAAAATAATAAATGCATTTATCGTGTTTTATCAACAGCTACTAAAAAAGCACGATTACAATTGATGCAATTTCAAGCAATGTAGCAGCAACTCTCATCTGAAACATAATGACTTATGTTTTTAGATTTTTAATTTTCTAGCTTAGTTCATTGTACATTTTCCTGTACAATGTCTATTTATTAACTAATAATTTAATCATTAACATCTTGAGAGTCGGCTTAGAAGCATATATTCTTTTCGTCCGAAAGGGTGTGCATTATATTATGTGCGTTAATTTTATTGCGTAACAATCGTTAACTTCTGAGGAATGTAAAAGCTTTTATATACGCACATGTAAAAGTGAGAAAATAAACACTGCATGAATGGTCATACATTTTAATGATGTGTATTTCAAGAAATATTAATGCGCATATCGAATATTTACGTAACATTATTGATCTATACGCAAAAAGATACAGAATATGTAAAATGTTACGTCGATGACATAGACTGTCATAATATGATTGATCTGACGGATATATAACTCGTTACGAATGTCACTGGTAGATTTGGATGTAGACTAAACACCATTTGTAAATATACAGAATTGACACTGAACCTTTAATTAAGTTCTACACGCCCCTGGCCACGTATGGGAACGTTTAGTTTTTGTAATTACAATTACAAAAAGATAATTATTAATGCAACAATTAAATAACCAGGATAATCTTTTCGTTTAAATTCGAATCGGATATCATAAGAACGAAGTGTAGAATATCATAAAAGTGCAATACTTATCTTTCGCACGATAACCACGTTTGTGTAGATCAAAATTATCATTGATTTTTCAATTTTATATCACCATAGCTCCTGAAATCGTGGCAACTACTCAACATGATATCACGTGGAAAGTATGCAATAACATAACTAAAAGATAAACAAATAATGACTTCTTTGGTCAGATATCTGACTACAAGTTTTTAACGTTCAGTTTGTGGGTTACATTTATACTGAAGGATTTATTGAAAAGAGAATGACTTCTATGGCTTTCGTTATTAAGACAAGTGTAAGTCAGATTTTATTCGGAATCAAACTTTGAACTAGAAAGTTCACCGTAATGACGTAATTGTTTTGCAGATTTCGAGATGTTTTGATTGTTCGACGAAAGTATCCTCAATGACTCATTGCCAGTGATTACACTTCCAACAACACTATCCTAATTTATGAACGCCTTGAATATTTGTTCTTTGAAGAGTCCAATAAAAAGACCAATAAAAGAGTCCAATAAAAGAAAATTTGGTTGTCTCAATCACTTGATATTAATTTGATATTAACTTAGATAAAACTTTTTATCAAGTTGTATATAATTTGCAATAGTTGGCATCTAAACTTAAATATTTCATTTTTTATATTAAATGCTTTGTCTTTTAATGATATAAAACATAAACAAATGAAGAAAAGATAAATGCTACGATTAAATGAGGAATAGCATATTTACGAATAAATTGTTTTTCCTTAAATTGAAATATCGTTTGTAATTATTTTAAAGATTGTTCAATTATATGATGTCGTTATGAAATATGTTTATTAAGTTCAACGTTGAAAGTTTGGACCTTAAACTGTAACGAGAGATAACACATTTAATAATAATGATAATTGACGTAGAATAGTAGTTGAAACGTTTAAAAAAATAATGTATCGCAGCTAGCATCATTTACAATATAAGGAATCGACAAGAAAGCAAAAATGAATGTCGCATCGCAATACCATACTCTCATGTTTCGACTGACGTCCGTCATGTCATTTCTGCTTACTTTGCTATCACGCGAATAACAGAGCGCACAGGAATTTCAAATTCCACGGATGCATATTTCATTTCCTGTGGCAGCTAAAGTCTTTTTCTCGTATTTGTATTTGGTCGAGAACGAACCTTGCGAAACGTACAGAACATCGACAAAGCCTCTGACTGACAATAAGCCAGACACAAATGAAGCAATGTAAACAGAAGCGCTAGAAGCAATGCATTAGCGTAAGAATTGACTTTTTTCGTGTACAGCGTCGAGTAGGTACGAGCACGCGATCAAATCTCAACGAAATGCATGCATCTATTGATTTTCCAAGTCCTCTTTAAGCCACGTTCCTACTTCACCCATTGCTGTAGGACATGCACGTTATTCTAACAGAGTAAGTGGGTACTCACCCACTTTGGCACTCCGAAAGATTACCTTTTTTAGCAAGTATAGAAATTATAAATAATCTGTCACAATCGGTGGCTTTATTCTCTTTCGAAATAATGAAAATGGCATTTGAATTGTGTTCCGTTATCCAACACTACTTATGTAGGGACGTGATTCTATGTTTGCTCGAAGATAACACGAAGGATACATATATACGCTGCGATTGATTATGCAACGTCCTTTTTAAAAAAACAAGTTCCTAAGAGATGACTGAAATGCATTCTACATTGCTAATTGTAAATAAAAACGGGACCGTGGCTATATTCCCTTCTACGTAGAGCTATCCCTCAATTGCATCATGACATCTCAATTCCATTCGTACTCGATTGATGACCGAATTAGATGCTCGCAACTCATCGAATTAAAAGAAACCGATGACGAATGATTTCCAACAGTTGGCAATTCACGAAGTACTCGCGTACGCGAGGCTATTGACGTTTAATTAATCTTTCACCCACATGCTCGATGGTTGTGAGGATAGCGAGCAGATATGACGAGTCCAAGTCTCGCCGGAACCTCTAATCGCAGTCTGGACCAACGTCCACTGCGATTGCTGGGTAGGAAATTAGACAATTACCGGGCTCACGGTATTTTCCGGGCGTTCTCACTCTAGCGATCATGTTTGCATCGCGTGCGAAAGGTAGCGAATGCTACAGGCGGAGTGTGGTTTGTGATCCGAGTATAGCCAACGACTCTTTTTTCACTACTCTCTTGTCACGAGCCTAACTCGGCGTTCGAATTACGTCAGAGATCAATGAATCGTTGCATAAGATCTACGTTATCGGGATCAGCGACACGCGGATCCGTTGGTCAGTTCCAACCGCGCGCGAAATTGATCTGAACTTTTTTACTATTTTCTAATCATGTCGGAATCGCCACGATTACCGTCTAGATGAATCTTAAGCAAACTATTAGTCTGAAAGCCACTGACTCACTATTCCGCTTAAATTTTTTTTTTTAAATTACTTATGTACTTTCCTTCGTTTCTGTTCGTATACTCTTTTATCTCCTGTTTGAAGGTTTCAATGAACGATTTATAAATACAAGGAAATATTTTATTTATATGCTGAAAATGATTTAGAATTTAGTATTTCTTTCATTTAATTTTTATCACGTAAATTCTGTTTGAGCAATATACCATACTAACTATGTAGGTTATTTTACGTTTAACTTCTTTAAAAATATACAATTTCGTATTCGTACAAATATTTATCGGTACTTTCCCCTCTCCACAGCCTCTTGACGCCAGACGATAATGCAGTCGTGGGAGCGACAAACTGTGTTGTTATATGAACCGAGATTTTCGCGCATGCGCGACTTGCAGGCGATGGGAACAATATACGTAACCAGTGGTATGGACATCCATGTGTTATGAAAAGAGTCTATGACCCAGACAACCCGTTTTTTCCATAGGAACCGCGTTCAAATTGTAGAGGCCAATGATTATGAATGAACTATGGAACATTAACCGTGTCAAACTGGTCATACTTGTGATAATATATAAATGGTTTTAGAGGAGAATAAATATTATACTTGTATGTATAGTTATAGAAATGATAGAAATTATATAAATAAAAAAAATGTAAAGGCTCAAAACAAGATTCGAACCTAGTATCTTTACATTACGCATTCTTCGCATCAAGGCAAGACAGCTATCTTCTAAAAGAACATGAATTTCTCGGATCTTGCAGAATACATTTTTTATACAAACTGTAGTCCAGTTACAGTTAATATACCCCAGTTTGTTTTTACTTACCGGCTCCTACAATTCGAGCTTCGTCCCGTAGACAAAGTCCGCTCGTACGAATTATACTCCCGCAGTCAGTAACCCGCCACGAGAGAGTGGAGCAGGCAAGGGTGGCGCGTTATCATGTGTCGGTGACAGCTGTGACCGGGAGTGTCCAAAGGGTCGGTGTTTCGAAAGATCACGAGGAAAGCTCGTGATTTCGTGAAATGTCTACGTGACTGGTCCGGCGTTTCCGTTAGTCGGCCCTTGTTGCTTCCTCCACTTGCCGCCGCGAGAATCCTTCCAAGACGGTACCCAATTGGTACAACTACCTTTAGGTTCTCCCACGTCGACCAATCAACGCGCTGCCTTGGTTAGCTTGGAAATCGAGCTGCGAGGTCGCCACTCGTGCTACGCTTAACGTTGCGCGGCGCACAACCAGCTGCCCGCAGTCGTTGTTTGTGTTTGGTTGAGATAGGTGACGAGCTCTGCTACCCGGTTCATCGCCTCGAACCCTCTTGTAACAGTCTCGTGCGTAACGTCAGTCGTGACCGGTTTATCGATTTCGAGGAAAGTCGGCCGAGCCACCAAAGGATGGGAATATTTCGCGAGTTTCCGATAGTCTTCAATCTCTACAAAAAGTATAGTTAAACGTTCGTGAACGAACGAGACCGGTGGAACGGAGTGACCGAGTGATTTATATGGGCAACAATCAGTGAGCAGCTATATTCAACGTTCGTGTAAACACAGAACGATCCCATCGAGGTGAGTCGAACACCGTGGAAATTTCATTTGCCTCTCGCAACGTTAAACTTTGGCGAAAAGAATGCCGATGAAAGCGTATCGAGGGAAAGAAACTTGGGTGCGTTTTGTTGTGGGTGCTAAGGGACTTGTCTACGAGGCTACTGAGTAGGAATATACAGGGTGTCCCAAAAATGTTGTAACACCTTGAAAGGGGTGGTTCGGGAGGTGATTTGAAACAACTTTTTCCTTAGCGAAAATGTTGTCCGAGGCTCCGTTGAGGAGATATTAACGGAAAACACTGACCAATCAGAGCGCGAGTATGCCGGTGGAGCGTAGGCTACGCGTTAGGCGGCCGCGCTCATAGGCTACCGCGGCCGCTCCATCAGCGTACTCGCGCTCTGATTGGTCAGTGTTTTCCGTTAATATCTCCTCAACGGAGCCTCGTACAACATTTTCGCTAAGGAAAAAGTTGTTTCAAATCACCTCCCGAACCACCCCTTTCAAGGTTTTACAACATTTTTCAGACACCCTGTATACTCACGTTTCAGTAGCGGATCGGAGACCAGCGAGAAAGAAGGGATCAGGTGGGATGGTTCACCGATAGAGTGTACGGGAGATACCGCTATAAATTCATCTTCATTCCCCATATCTCGACTGTTCTCTCCGTCAATTGGTCTCATGGACGGCCAGCAATTCCCCGTGTTTCCGCCGTTCAATTACGAGCTAGTACGGGACTCGTTTCGTCGAGGGTCGATCGACACGCTTCTGTATGCCTCATGATTACCTAGCCGTACCCATCAACCGTTTAACTACGAAGGTAGGAGCTTCTCGAGCTAATTTCAATCTTACAGGGGATTCGTCTGGTTTAATTGGCTGTGATTATCATGCGTCAAACGTGATCGTTTTCCTAATTAAAGTTCCAAATAACGGACACGAACTTTAGATTGCTCCGTAAATTAGCTTCTGCCCATGCTTCGCTCGTCTGGATATTGATTTACAAAAATGCGTCATCCAGTTTGATTTTTCGAATTTATTATCCGGAAATAAAAGGAGATTTAAGAGGGTTTAAGTGTGTCTTCGATACAAACGGTCACAACTTTGGTAATATTGGAATCCTTTCAATACAATTTAGTAATAGTATCTTAAAGACCTTAAGCGACATTAATATACAAATTAAATATCTATTTACTCTCTTATTTTTATCATGCGTTCGCGAAGCTAACGCTGTAAAATCTTGTATAGCAACAATCGGACGAAGAAGGATATTTTGCTTGTTGTTTTTGTGAAGCCAACGATGTGGCTTCTTTTTGTACCTTCATCGAGAAACTGGTAGTATAGGACCTTGTATAGGGACAATCGAACGTTGGAGGATATTTTTTTCCTTCTGTTCACGGTAATCGACGTCGACTACTGCATTTAGCAATCGGAGCAAGAATTTCAAGTTACCTACCACTCTAATGTATCCAGAGTTCACTATACCTGTTCTGTCGATTATACTTACGCGGTTATGGTAGCTCAGAGGCCGTTCCCCAAGCTGCGCTGTCCCTCTATCTACGAGGTCACTAATTCGCTGTGGTCAGAGGGGTACAGGGACGCGTCACCAGAGAGTATATTACGATCACTCGACCGGTTTGCCAGTGTGTCACGCAGTTTTCGTCGTAGTGAAATAGTACGTTGTATCGGGACCCGTTCGCAGGCATTGTTGTCTCGTGTCCTTTCGACCTGCCAAGTGGACAGTTTCTTTTCGCTGTCTGCACGTTTTTGAATCTAACAGTTTTCCATACAAGTGCTGCGATCATTGTGCTAAAGTCCAAGTGTAAGAATTCTCTTACAACTTGTTTTATGTACGTTTCTGAACATCTAATATTTATCTAAATCTACCTTGTTTCATCGACACTAAAATTACCAAGCCACTCGATTCGACCCATGTATTTCAAATTTTTTAAACAAATTATATATTTGATTGATTATAACCATGATATTATAGCATATTTATTAGTTTGATTTGATTGTTGATAATTGTAGGGTTAAGGTATACAACCAGACATGTACTGTGATCTATGTATTGAAGACCAAATGTGTAAATGGTTCGATTTGCCGAAGATATTGCTCTGAATTGCCTTAAAATGGTGTTTACGCGTTAATCTCGGGTCACATGCGCGGGCGGTGGCGCTTTTTTTTTTTTTATCACGTACCACGGCCATTTCTGTAACGCGAAAGTCGAAAGTCTGTTCAGTAACGATCAAAACATTTTGTTTACGTTTTTGGAAACGAACGTTAACGTGCCGGTGATTGCAATCGGGCCACTAGAAACGGTCAATAATAATTACGTTCGCCGGAGCAAATCATTCGACTCGACACGGTTCGCTACGGAATTCTGGCATTTATCACTCACTGACCCACGATTCCATCGAACGGGTAGAATATATCTGTGCGATTATTGTTTTTCAGAACGAAATATCAATAGCCGAGTATAGCCGAACTTTGACAGACATATCCAGTGAAGACCGTAAACAATCCGAGAGATAACATCGGAACAGGTTCGCTAAAAGCGACTGGTAATATGTCGAAAGTACCAGGAATCATGAAGACGGAGGACGTCATTGGGAAACAGACTCTCGTGAGGCGTGTTTCCAACATGCTTAAAGGTGGGAGATTTTTATTTTTAAATTTTTCATTAACTGATAATTCGACGTAGCAATCTAAAATGATGTAACAAATGAGCTGTTCGTTATGGCGACGGTATAAGTCCATCTGTTTCAATAATGGACCTTCTATGAATTTTATTCTATGCTAAAATAGACATAGAGTTGTAAAAATGCTACGAAAACAATAACTTTTTTTTTTTTTGTAGTGAACAACGATATATCGTTGATACATTTTCAAAAATTTCCAGTGACTACGTCTCGTTGTGCGTGAGTCACTCTGGGTTTGCGTTTGAATATGTCAGTTCTTAACTTGGTTGGATGGGTTTAGTATAATACTTCAAAACTTAATTATCTTTCGGCCATTTATATTACGTTATGTTAACCCAATTATAATATTGTAAAATATATCTACATCGTAGATATAATAAATTATAAATAATTAAGCACGATACGTTGTTCACATTTTGTACTATATAGTTTACATTACACTATGCTAACATTATTGATATAATTTTCAACGAATATTGGAATATGTCATTCTTTAACTAATTTTTTCTTTATTTTAACTATGTTTATTTCAAAATTTTTAAGTCAGCAATTACTCTCGACACTTGAATTAACTCTAACCTTGTCTCATTATCGATGTCAACAGATGGAAGCAGCGGACCACCGATGTTGTTTCGCCACGCATCGATGCAAAGGATTCGCCACTGTTGTCAAAATCTGAATCTCTTCCCATATCTGCTCTACTCCTTCGACAACTCGACGTCGCACCCCATCGCCCTCAAAGTGCATTTATGTCTCAGCAACCTGCTCCAGGGCATTATGGACAGAATCTTCTTCTTGTACAAGAACTTATGGCGGTCCTTGCTCCGCAGCAGTCCCGACGATTCACTGACGCAGGAATACGTGCAGCCTGAAGAGTCGTGCGAACCCAGGCCAAGGTTTCAAAAGCCAGAATGCCATAAACGCAAACAGCACCCTACCTTCCTGACGATAGCCGTTTACTTCGCACCATTCCTACTGGTCTTCCAATCGATCGGCCTTTTTGGTTTGATGATCTTTTGCAAGTACACCCCAGGATATATCTTCCTGGTTGCTGCCCTGTTGTTACTGGGCTTCATCTGGATGAAGATCCTCTTCCACGAGAGCGTGCGATACACCAAGATTGAGAGCGAGAAGTACGAGAAGAACAAAGTGGATTGATCCTACGGTAGTTTTCTCTCGTCCCATCCCCTGCACACATCGCAATCAGACTGTTCATCGAATAGATAGCGGACTCCCAAGAGCATCGTGACTCTGGGTCACCATTGCAATTCCCTCGTCGCATCTGAACACTTGATCTGTACCGAATAGAGTTTATCACTATTACGAGACTAACTCGGCGATAATTCGTGTCCCTTGTTCATCTGCTTCGATAGCTTCGTAGGTTCGTAGGGTCACTGGTTCGATCCAGTGGATTTACCAGTTCCATAACATTTTGTATACATCTCCGGGCAGATACGTAAGCGCGCGCGCGATCGTTGTTGCAACGCGTTAGAGGATAGGATACTATGGCATGCTACCGTGACTCCGGATAGATTTAAGGTTGCCGCTCAGACATCTAAACGCCCGCATAATTGTAATTGTTTTTTGTCCTATACGTAATTCCGAGAATTACTAGTTTCTAGCGCTGTTACAAAATGAGAGGCATTTGAGGAGTTGCCTAGGTAACGATCGCGATACACCTTATCCTCTGCAGTAGAAGACTGAGAATTGTTTTAACTTGTTTGTATATATATATATATAAAAAAGAAGAAGAAGAAGACAAAGATACAACGCGTAAGGGAAAAACGTATGCGAGAAGAAACGTTCGTCGTCTATATCACACGGGGTTGCTTTAACATATTTGAAAAGACTTGGTGCGTCTATTGAACAAGTTAGGCTAATCTGTGATGAAGTGGATCCGAGTGTATTTTTCACGACCACTTGCTGTCTCCCTTACTTAAATACGATAAGAATACATGTGTAACGTCGGTTTTTTTTTTAAATATATGTTACTTACACAGAAACGTTTTATTATTACCAATAACCGTCTACGTTGCTCTAATTATCTTTACCAGCAGTCGAGCATAATTAGAAGCAACAGACCGCAGTATAAGGAAACGTTGATGAAAATGTTGCAATCGATTCTTCCAACACTGTTCGCGTCTGGTTGTATGTTCGCTGCGTATCCTATAACGCGAGCGACGTAGTTCTGTTCGTGTACGCTGTGAAATAGGTGAGCGAACGGACCTGCGAAATGGGAAAGAATATTCAGTTAATAAATTGACGATTATCATGCTTATTTCAAGTTCCTGTGACATATCGATTTTGGTACCTATCGCATACACAGCGACATCACCGCCACCGTGATAAGCCTCGTCCGATATGATCGCAGCTTGCTGACTGTACGTAAAAGATGTCGTATTTTCTTTAGAAGGGTCTATCCTAACCGAACTGTTGTTTTTGTACGCGATGTTGTTGGGTCCTCCGGTGCTGTAAGTCAACGTGGTATAAGGGATACCATCATACTTTGACTTTTGAGCGATGCCTGAAATTTCATAGTTCTTTTAGGGTTGTTTAAAACAAAGGATTGGAAATATTCTAAAAGTACCTATTTCAAATTGGTAAATAAAGGTTTAACATTACTTCAGTTCTTATAATTATTTTGAGAATCGGGACCGTTATCATAACTACATATATTCAACCCCTGCCTAACGTACCCAGAATATTTGATCCTCGATCGCTGTATCCATTGAAGCTCATCGAGTGAGTGTGATCACTCGTTACGATAACCAGCGTATCGTCGGTGTTGATCATCTTCAAAGTCGCGTTAATGGCATCCGAGAACCTGACGGTTTCCAATAACGCCTGAGCGGCATGTCCGCGATGGTGAGCATAGTCGATAAGACCTCCTTCCACCTAAAAGTAGCACTCGATGTAGTTTCATCCACGAAAAAATTCTTATTTCGTTAAAATGTCAGTACCACTAGGAGGTAACCCTTCTTCGACTTCTGCAGGATCTTCAAGGCTGTAACGGTCATATTTTCAAGACTTGGTTGTCCTTTCGGACCCTTATCTCTGTTATAGTCCATGCTTAAGTGACCATTCGCAAAAATACCCAAGAGACAATCTACCTTAGCCGGGTCTACCTGGGACAATTGCTCGTTATTTTGAACAACCTTGTACGACAGATTCCTGTATGTTTTGTCTCGCGACCATGCGTCGATTAAATCTCGACCATCCCGTCTTTTGCAAGCCCACGTGTCTATAGGGTCGGACTCTGTACCGATTACGTTATGCTTCATTACTTGCCTGCCACCTCCCATGATTACCTAGATGTGAAAGTTTTCAATTAACTTGATATTGGATCATACGAAAGCAAAAAATCAAACGGATTACCAAAATATAGTTTTTTCGCTATGCAAACATAGACATTTTTCATTTATTTGCTATATAAAATAAAAATTTAAAAAGAAAAAACCTCTTTTCTTTCACGCGTATCGTAATAGCCACTTAACAAACTAGGTACGAAGTTGGCAAAATGTTTGGTTTTTATACCCACGTGTCATGAAAGTCTTTGTTAATGAAAAAAAATATCAAGAACTGAACCGTCAAAGTCTCAAATGTCTTAAGCAACTTAATAGTTTGCCTTAATATTACTCCCTGGCGTATCCTCCACTAATTGCCTCGCGATGTCCTTACAGGGATTAGCAATTTCTGGCATTGTCGCCTCGCATTCCCATCTCCTGTCCGCACTGTGCGCGTACAAAGGCGCAGGTGTAGCGTGAGTGACTCTTGTAGTTGTTACGAATCCTATAAATTGTACGTAACGTTTTTAAATTGACAATTTTGTGAACTTTGGCAATGTATCGTATTAACGTCGCACAGTCGGATGGATATACAGCGAAATACCAACAACCAGAGAAGATATAAAGGGGCAGATAAGAAGAGCCTGCATTGCAATTGATGCAAATGAGTTGATTTATTAATAAATGAACGGTACAAAAATAAATCTAGAGTTGAGGGACACTGGGTCTCTCATAAGGGAAAGTTTTATTTCTGCTGCCTTCGTCGATGGGCCTCTGCCAGTATTTGTGCTCAAGAGGGCAGTGTGAAAAACATGTGACAGACCCAGGCCGTTACTTTTCTTCTAGGATGTAGCCGTCAGATTTCCTATGCGCTTTCGAATAGCTTGCACTTTTAGTTCGAACCTTGCGGAGAACAGACGCCTCCCTGAATCGACGAAATAAAATTCAAGTATTCCGTGCAATGTTTTCTATATTAACACGTTTTAGAAGATACATCCAAGTTCAAGGTCATCATTTTGAACACTTGCGGTAACAGTAAGTACACAAGTAAGAAAATTAATGAAATTTTTGAAGAGTACATTGAAACAATTTTTTTTTTTATTAAAGTCAGCCTGTGTAACCTTGAATGACCTTCAACCATAGATCATTTTATTCGTCTTGAAATCCTCTAACATATAGGCGTAAAGAATACTCACCAGCTCTAGATAAAATTACGTAAAAGTATGAGAAAATCCAGTGAAAAGTATGAAATAATTTCTATTTAAGCTGCACTATTACTTGTCAGATCTTGATGAATTTGTTCTCGTCAAGTGGCAAGGTATGTCAAGAAAGAAAATATTTAACAAACGTCAACGACCATACCACGCATGCTACACCAGTTCTCGTC